CCAACCTCAGCAGTTTAGTGAGACCCTGGTCGGATGGCGCAGTGCCTGTAATCCCAGAGGCTGGGGGAGCTGAGGCATGAGTGTTGTTAATTCAAAGCCAGCCTCAGCAATTTAGTGATGCCCTAAGCAACTCAGCCAGATCCTGTCTTTAAATAAAATATAAAAAAGGGATGGCGATATAGCTTAGGGGTTAAGTGCCCCCGGTTCAATCCCTGGTACTACTACTACTAATAATAATAATAATAATAATTAAAAGGAATGAGGCTCTAACTAGAATAAGATATATTCCATGCATGTATAATTTTATCAAAATGGACTCTACTGCCATGTATAGCTAAAAAGAACTAATAAAAAAGACTGGGGATGTAGCTCAGTGGTAAAACACCCCTGGGTTATATCCGCAGTACTAAAAAGGAAAACATGGCTACGTATCCCCTCACCTAAAGTGTCACAGAGCTGGCCGCCTGTAATCCCAGCAGTTTGGGAGGTAGGCAGATTTGAGGCCAGCCTCAGCAATTTAGCAAGGCCCTAAGAAATTTAAGGAGACCCTATCTTAAAAGAAAAAAGTAAAAAAAGGGGCTGGGGTTGTGGCTCAGTGGTAGAGCACTTGCCTCACAGGTGTGGGGCACTGGGTTGGATCCTTAGCACCACATAAAAATAAATAAATAAAATGAAGATATTGGATGTGGCTCAGTGGTGAAGTGCCCCTGGGCTCAATCCCTGGTGCAGTTAAAAAAAAAAAAAGGGGTCAACTAGAACCCAGGGGCAGAGACAGGGCTGTTATAGGATTAGGGGAAGGGAGGAGACTGTGGATAACTTCTAATGAAATGATTTTTTATTGCTCCAAGTGAAGTTTGGCTGTATGAAACAGATTAATATCAGCTCCTGCCATGTTCCCACCCCTCACAGCTCTCTTAGTGCATATCTCAGCAGCCAGCAGTAATTATTCTTCCTTGGAGCAAAGGGAAGTGATGAGTTATTCCATCACTCCCATTCTACTGTGATGGAGAAACCAGACCTGATTATAAAATGAAATTATAAATTAACAATTTATAATTGGTGGAGCTTGGTGGAGCATAACTGTAATCTGCCTCAAGAAAGTCAAGGTGTTAAGCAACTCAGGGAGACTCTGTCTCTAAATAAAATTCAAAATAGGGTTGGGGAGGTGGCTCAGTGGTTGAATGTTCCTGAGTTCAATCCTCAATACCAAAAAAAAAAAAAAAAAAAAAGGGAGACCAGTAGACTAGAAGAAGGGGAACAGGGGGAGGGACGGGAGGGAAATGGGAGGGATTGGGGGATGAAATTAATCAAATTATATTGTTTTATTGTGTGAATGTATGAATTTACTATAACAAATAAAAAAGTCTTTGCCTACCAATAAAAATATTGAATATAAAAAGAAAACATTTTCAATTTCATGGTTTGTTTCTTTTGTTCCTTTGTTTCTTTTTTCAGGGCCAAGGACAGAAGTCAGGGCTTTGCTTGTGCTGCTGAGCTAATTCCCCAGCCCCTGTTTTTATTTATTTATTTTTGCCTTGAACTTTGCAATCCTCTTACCTCAGTCTCCCAAACTGCTGGTATTATGGGCGTGCACCACTTCACCCAGCTGTTTTTATTTTTGAGACAAGTGAAAGGAAAGTGACCACGACACCCGGAGCGACCAAGAGATCTTTATTGTGGCAGTGTCTGATTAACAGGGAAGGAAGAGAAAGAGAGAAAGAGAGCAGGGAAAGAGAGAGAGGGAAGGAGAGAGCAAAGCAAGAGAGAGAGGACAGGGAAAGAGAGAAGAAAGGGGGGGCAAAGTGAGGGGGGGGAGAGAGAGAGAGAGAGAGAGAGAGAGAGAGAGAGAGAGAGAGAGAAAGAGAGAAAATCGTGTGCATGCAAGAGATGGGAGCCCGGCAGGAGAGAGTTTTTTTTTTTTCTTTTTTTTAAAGAGAGAGAGAGAGAGAGAGAGAGAGAGAGAGAGAGAGAGAGAGAATTTTAATATTTATTTTTTAGTTTTTTTTGGCGGACACAACATCTTTGTATGTGGTGCTGAGGATCAAACCCGGGCCGCACCCACGCCAGGCAAGCGCGCTATCGCTTGAGCCACATCCCCAGCCCAGAGAGAGTTTTTTATAGCCAAAATTTAATGTGGTCTTTAGGTCTGCAAGCTGACTTGTTGGCCTACATTGATTGGATCATATAGTAGTTCCTAAGGGTGTCATCTTCTGCCCTCAGGGAGACCGGGCAGGGGCCAGATGTGGGTTTCCCATGGCACCAGACCGGTGGGGGATTGAGTGTTAGACCTTGAGTGGGGTTGAGTGCTCATCCTTGAGGCAAATAAGCCATAAGGAACCAGACTGGTGAGGTGAGCCCACCCTGCAGCTAAACATTTGTTCAGCCTGCTTCACAACTAACAACAGGGACTCACTCTCTTGCCCAGGCTGGTATCAAATTCCTGGGCTCAAGAGATTCTCCTGCCTCAGCCTCTCGAGTAGCTGGGGCTACAGGCACAGGCCACTGCACCCAACTTTTATTTATTTAGGTTACTGAGAATTGGACTCAAGGGCACTTGATCATTGAGCCACATCCCTATTTTGTATTTTATTTAGAGAGAGGGGCTCACTGAGGTCTCACTGAGTTGCTTAGTGCCTCGCTGTTATTGAGGCTGACTTTGAACTCATGATCCTCCTGTCTCAGCCTCTGAGGCGCTGGGATTACAGGTGTGAGCCTAGCTAATTTGGGCCTAATTTTTAATTCCTCACTTATCAAGTGGTTAAAAAATGTTTGCAGAAGGCTTCATTACCTACTGAACTGGTCACAAGGCCCCTGGGGGGCCCTGCACCAGTCTTCTGGCTTTGGTTCCCTCACTTCCTTGCTACACTTGCCAGGTTGGACCAACTCCTACAGCTAACACGCCTAGGCTTTGGCAACTCATGCCTTCCTCCCTTCCCTTTCTCACTGTGACAGCAGTCAAGTGCTTATCTTCCCTTTGTTGTTTCTTCCTTTATCCAAGGATGCTTCTGGAAGGTGTTTGCAGACTTTGGTGGGAGAGTGAGATGAAATAATGCAGACTGGCTGGTTTGAAGCAAAAGCTCCATACCTGTTTGCAAGTCATTTCAGCCTTGGTGCTGTTACAGAGCTGGAGCCTTCCAAGAAACTGAGACAGCGTGAAGACCTCCTTCAAACCCCAATTCTTGTGATCAGATCAGAAAGACTTCAGACATGTGGCTCAGAATAATATGAATGAATTTATTTAAGGGATAGGAAAAGGGAAAGAGGATCCTCTTAAGGGAGAATGGGTCCTCTCATAGAGTGACATCTTTCCTGTACTCGCTTTATTGGGGATCCCAGAGAAGTTTCCAAATCCTGCCCAGGTCCACCTCTTTGAGTTTTGACTGACAGTAGGATGGTATCAGACTTTCAATTCCCCACTGCCTCGATAACTCTAGGTCAACTTGGCCCATGCTGATAGGTTCTAATTTTTTTTTATACTGGTGATTGAACCCAAGGGCAATTTACCACCAAACCACATTCCCAGTCCTTTCTATTTTTAGACAGGGTTCTGTTTTGCTAAGTTGCTGAAGCTGGCTTTGAACTTGTGATCCTCCTGCCTCAACCTCCGGGTCACAAAAATCTCCCACTTCTGGGTTCCTCTTCTCATTTTACCCCTGCAGATAATAGTTTGTTGAAGAATATGACAGTCTGTTCACTTAAATTGGGAAGGGCTGGAAGTAAATCTTGGAAAAGAAAGCATATAGGGGTCTGCATAATGGGCCCATTTTTTAGAATTATTCTCTTTAACTCCCACCATTTGCACTGTCCACTAACGGTACCACCTGATCTCTTTGTAAATTGACCTGTGGATCCAGTCAACACTGAACAGTTCCTGTTTGAGACAGGATCTTGCTAAATTTGAGGCTGGCCTCAAATTTTTCCTCCTGGTTCCAGTCTGAGTCACCGGGATTACAGGTGTGCACCACTGAACTCTATTTGAAAAACTGCATTTTTTGGCAGTACCGGGGATTGAGTCCAATGGGTACTATTCTATTGCAAACTAAATTGACTACTCAGCTGTAGTCCCACCTTTTTTAAACATTTTGCTCAGGCAGGCCTTGAGTTCGTGAATCTTCTCCTGATACTGGGATTATAGGAATGCCACCATTCCTGGAATGAAGTTGCCTTTAAAGTCATCCCAGAGATTCACGAAGGTGGCAAGTACAAGGCCAGTCACAACAATTTAGTAAGGCCCTACCTAAAGCAACTGAATGGTAAACTGTCTTGAAATGGTTGGGGTTATAACTCAGAGGTAAAGTATCCTAGGTTCAATCCTATGCACCCTCAAACCCCACCAGTCCTGGGCACCAAATATCACCACTGCTGTGGCTCATCACCTCTTGGCACCCATGAGACACCCCTTCCTCTTAAATGTGTTGCATTGGTCCTGGAAAGGGGCGCTTTACCACTGAACCACATTGCCAGCCCTTGTTTTTGAGATGGGGCACGTTGGCAAGGCTAGCCTCAACCTTGCCATCCTGCAGCACTCTAATATTAAACCACTGGGATTATAGCCATGCACTACCACTCCTGGACACGTAAAAAAAATTTTTTTACATCAAGAGCATGTTGTGCACATTTATAGTCCCAGAATTGAAAGGCTGGGCAGGACCACAACATTTAAAGCCAGCTCTGGAAACTTAGGGGGATCCCTTCTCAGAATGTATGGCCTGGGTCCAAAGCTGTTGGTAGACCATTTATGTAGCATGGAAGGCTCTCAGCTCAGTACCATGTAAAACAAATAATAAAGGCATTGTACCTGATTAAAAAACTGACTGCAGTTCAGTACTCAAATGTCTCAGGATTGAATCTTAGGGCCAATTAAAATTCAGAGATTGGAAAAGAGTGTAGTAGTTAAGAACAGAAATGAAGCTCCTCAAACACTTCACCAAGGCAGAAAATCCACATTACATGGGCCCATACTGCCAGTGAGACTCATCCAAACCAATGAATCACACAGATTAAGAAAAAGAGCTTTATTAGGAAGATCAAAATGATTGTGTGTTAACTTGAACAGCTAGGATGCACAAGGAAAGATCTGGAAATCTGATGTCCTCCAAGACTTGGATGGATGCCTGCTGAGGAAAGATGAATCTTTATTGGATGGGAAAATAAAAATGTACATAATGCACACACCCTTTGAATTTACAAGGGGCAAGGTTTTAAACCAAACATTAAAGGGCTGATTCTAGGTACTCTGGATTTATTCTATTACAAACTAAATTGAAAATGAGCCTACCATTTATCTTCATCTTGCCTTTCCTCAGACTTGGGGGCTGGAAGAAAAAAAAAAAAAGACAACTTATTTCAAACTGATTCTTCTTCCATTTTCCATTTACAGAAATTCTGATCATCCCTCAGACAGTTCCTTCTGGAACAAGCTTTCCTCTTCTCCCCCAGCCAGCCCCAGTGGGTTCACCTTTACAGGCTCTGGGACTAGGACAGGAAGTAAGACGTGTGAAATGCTTCTTCATTGGGAAATTTTTAGCTTACTGTACTTTACCTTCACCTTAGTCCACTCACCTTTAACTTCAGGTTGAAGTTAGGCAGATATGACTTGCTTTCTCTGTAATGGAAAGAGATTAGGAATTAAGTCATCTCTTTATTGCTTAAAGGAAAAGCACACTTCATAGAAACCTAGTCCTAGAAAGTTATTGGCTATAAAGCCTATCCATCTTCTTATTGCTTACTGTTAAGATGAGCTCACAACTCAGAGTGTACCTTTCTGTCACAATGATCAGACTGGGGCGGTATTCAACTCATCACTGGTGAGCAGGAATTCACCACTGGTGATCCAAATATGGCTACTCAGACCAAAGTACCACCACACACCATAAAGTTGATGCTACATGATAGGCATAAATATTGCAAAGGTATGTACCTCAAATCATTCTTGGAATCCAGACAAGATGCTAGACCTGAAACAAACAAGATCAAATGAGTAATGCTTATGTCCTGCCTCAGTTATCCCCACCTATTATTTCTAGGAAATCAGATTTCCGAGTCTCAACAGCAAAACATCAGCCGAACGAGATTCCATAAGTCATCATGTATATTTGCCTAAAAGGCACTTTTTCCTACCCAATATGCTATATATACTTAACACATACTGAAATTACTCACCTTTGAACCAGTAAGTAGACATTGGTAACAGCACCTGAAAAATTTAAAAACAGGTAAAATACTATGTATATGTGGCATATCAGGATATTGCCCCACTTCTCTATCCTTCAGTTTCTCAGGTGTTCATATATTTTCATTGTCAATCATAGTGAGCTAGTTTGGGTCATCATAGAAACTTGGTGGCATAAGCCATGAATTAGGGAAAAAATCCTACTAACCTGCTAATGCTGGAGTATTTTCATCAGTATATGGAAATGAGTTGCTCCTGAATGAATCAGAAAAACACACTAAATTAGCAAAGTACTCAAAATATCCAGCTACTATTAATGACAAGCAAAGCAAAGGCTATTTATTGCCATTTGCTGGACCTCATGTAGTTCCTCATGGAACCAAGTTTCCTTCCTCTCTCCCAGCTACACCAGTGGGTTCACCATTACTCGTTCTGGGGCTAGAGCAGGGAGTTAAGACAAGATGTTTGTTCTTACTGGCACTATAGTCTTTAACCAATACCATGATGGTAAAGCCACCCTACAAATGATAATATGCTCTTTTTAAAAAAATATTTATTTATTTTAGTTTTTGGCAGACACAACATCTTTCTTTGTATGTGGTGCTGAGGATTGAACCGGGCCGCACGCATGCCAGGTGAGTGTGCTACCGCTTGAGCCACATCCCCAGCCCAGTAATGTGCTCTTATTTACATAATTTACAATAGCTATTAGTAGAAGCAACTTACCATAAAATGGAAAAATTTGTCGTTATCAGGAAACCCTGGGAAAGAGGAACATGTGGTTATTTCAAAGTATTAGGATGGACATTGTTTTTCATTATCAACAACTGCCATCAGAACTCTAACATGCTATTTACCATTGTACCTCACAGATCATCAGCATACTGATTCAAATCATCTGACAGTTGATACACGGATGAGAGAAGAGCACATCATTACAAGAACCAATTGACTATTGGTTGCTGTCTTCCCTCCCCCAGAAAATTGCTCCAAGAGGAACAAGATGGATAAGGTGGATGGAGCAAAAAGGCAACACAGCTCCATTGACCATCTGCCCTCCTTTTTGTGGAGAACAATTGCGATAAAATAATCAGAGATCCCATTTGAAGAATTACCTGCATTCACTCTTGGAGATAATCAAATTCCTCAGGATAGGTCATGAGATGTGGAGACAAAAATGGGACTGGTTAAGTGCCCCTGGGTTCGATCTCTGATTAAAAAAAAAAATTTATTTGTACCTGTAAGAATTACCTTCAAAACTACTCTAAACCCCTGGCCCACTCCTCAGGATTAAAATGACATCACTTATAACTCAGTCATATGCTTGTCATTTTATGTTCATCACAGAGTGGTTATCCATAAACACTCCCTTTCCATAAGCCATATATACCTACATGGAGGATCGCTGTAATTGCAGGGATGATCTCCGTGCATTCTCCAAACACCACACATCTTTGAGCCGAAGCACATCTGAAAATAGAACACCCTTCACTAACACCTCAACTTAAAACCCAAGGAAAACAAAACTCCTGGGTAGCGCTACTCAGAACTTTTACATTTTCTCCACTAAACCATCAGAAAGAGAGAGTTCAAATCATAAATCATCCCTGTAGCACATCCAATAGTTCTTCCAGCCCAAAGAACAAGAACTAGATGGCCAAAACCACTTACTCCAACCAGAGGGCTGTCTTCGATTGTTGTGTGGCGAATGTGCGCCTTAACCCTGCAGACAAAACATTAGATTAGTATAGGATATTTTAAAAATGCTTTCTACCAAGCAACGGCCGCAGGGGACACAAGCTGTGCAGCGCCGGTCTCCTCAGAGTTACTTATCCTCACGGAATTCAGCACAGGTCTGTGAAAATGTCCTCATCACTGGGAGGGCGCCTGGCTCGGCCCGCTACCGCCATTTTGTCCTTCACAAAGCCCCAATAGAAGTAACTGAATAGGTCCGGGAGGAGATCTTCCCTCCCAGCCCGCCAATAGGTAAGACAACAGAGATCTGGAGCGCGCGACCTAACGGCTATAATGGCAGCGACTCCGGAGGTAACGACAATAGGATCGATAGGTCGAGATCAGGTTAGGCAGCTTAACAAGACTCAAAAGTCAAAAAGAGTGGCTCAATTGGTAAAATACCGCTGAGCCCCATTTCCCGTGCCGCAAAATAATGTAAGACAGAACCCAGAAACCCACCAACCCAATTACCCACCGGAGCCTGGAAGGAAAAATGAGACCGAATACAACAACGCGAGACGCTTAAATACTTTCACGCAAAGGCCCACGGGATTGGGGGCGGGCACAAAGCGAGCGCACGCGCATATGGGACGCCACCACAACCTTGAGGAATTGTGGGTTGAGAATTCTAGGGAAGGGCTGGTGTCGAACGCTCGGTCACAGAACTTGAGGCGCGAAAAAGAAGCGCATACGCCCCATGGGAGTGCGCAGGCGCGCCGAGCGGTTTGCGGCTTGGCGGATCTGGCTTTACTGCGGATGTGGCCGCAATTCTGAAGATCCCTGCTTGGGGCGGATCCTGGGCTAATTGTTCCGGTCACCGCTAGGCCTACCCCTGCACCCTGCCCTGATTTCCCTCTTAACATCCCCACACGTTACACCTGTGTGCAGACCCGCCTCCATGGATTCTGAACCTCATGAGCCCTCGACCGGCGACCTCTCCATTCCGCGCCAGCCTCCCAGCGCCCATTCAGGGGCTGATGTCCAGGGTTACAACGCGGGGGGCGACTCAGGTACTGGGCCCGGTGCTGACCTCTAGTGGAAGTCCCATATGGGGAAAGTAAGTCAGGGTGTAAGTACTCCACTTAATTCTGAAGACAGGGTCTGATTTGTCCTGACTGGCCACCCTTCTGTCTGATCCTATTTTGCTAGGAGCCTGGCCTGTAATAATAAGACTGACATCCGGGGTTCCTTTCTCATCGGTGCCCGGGATCGAACTCAGGGTATTATGCATGTTAGGCAAAGGGATCTACCATCGAGGTACACAACCTAGCCTGAAACACGATTCTTTTGAGGCACCGGGGATTGAATTCAGGGTCACTCAACCACTGAGTCACATCCCCAACCCTGTTTTGTATTTTAGTTAGAGACAGGGTCTTGTGGAGTTGCTTAGGGCCTCACTAAATTGCTGGGGCTGGCTTCGAACTCTGGATCCCCCCGCCTCAGCTTCCCGAGCCGTTGGGATCACAGGAGTGCGCCTTTGCACCCGACCCTGGAGCACGATTTTAAGCATGCAGTATGAGTTGATTAGTTTAATCCTCTATAATTCCTGTTTTATAGATGAATGACCTTAGGTATAAAGGGCCCGAGGAACTGCTTACAATTTCCTCCTGATTTTCTGGGTTGCAATCAACTAAAGGGTATTGTTACTGAGATCAACCGGCATTCATAGACACCCATGTACGAGCGTGCGTTAAGCTTACTAGGTACTCTTCTGCATGACTTCACTTAATACTGCTACCTTGGGAGGAAGCTGTGAAGGTAATGTTATAGATGAGGAGCCTGAGGCCTAGAGAGGTTAAGTAACTCTAGTGTTACTTTGCTAAGTAATACCAAAACCATGTTAAAAATACAGTCAGTATGATTTCAGAGTCTGCTTCTGACATCTGAAGAAAGTTGGGGAGCAGGCAGTGACACAGGAAACAATGGAATAATCCTTGGGCGCTGTTTCTTAATCTTTTTTGTCACCCTGCCTAACCTAAAAAGCACTTTAAAAAAAAATTATTTTTTAGGTGTAGATGGACACAACCCAATGTCTCTTTTTTTTTTTTTTAAAGAGAGAGAATTTTTTTTTTTAATATTTATTTTTTAGTTTTCAGCAGACCCAACATCTTTGTTTGTATGTGGTGCTGAGGATGGAACCCCGGGTGGCACGCATGCCAGGCAAGCGCACTACCGCTTGAGCCACATCCCCAGCCCTAAAAAGCACTTAAAAAAAAAAGAATATATTTTTATTTGTTGGCAGACTTTATTTATTTATTTATATGCGGTGCTGAGAATGACCCAGTGCCTCACACATGTGAGGCAAACACTCTAAGCCACAACCCCATCCCCAAACATTTTTTTTTCCTCCTAATCTCTTTATGAAATTTTAGTGCCAAAGATAATACAGTCTATCTGCATATCTACTTGGACATTTAGAGTGCCAGAAACCTTTTCAATATCTGAGATTTACCACCTGCTACAAACCAATTTTCACGCCTTGGGACCAATGATATTTTCATACATGTCTCAGAGTAACATAATGAACGACACTGTACACAAATACTGAAAGAATTCCATTTTTTTAATATTTATTTTTTAGGTGTAGATGGACACAACACAATGCCTTTATTTTTATGTGGTGCTGAGGATCGAACCCGGGTCCCGCCCATGCTAGGCGAGCGTTCTACTGCTGAGCCACAATTCCAGCCCCTGAAAGAATTCCAATTTGAGTTAAGTTATAGACTGGTGTGAATCAATTTATTCAATAACTAATAAGTTCTTATTTTGTGCATGATACAACATATGGGGGAAGAGAAAAAGACACTCTGCTTTAAGAGATTTTGGTCTGGTTGGGAGGGCTTTAAGATGTGCATATAAAGACCCTAAATTCAGATTGAAAAGTTGTAACAAAATGTATAAAAAACAGAAAAGATAAGCTGAAAAATGAAGGTCCAGAGTAGGCAGACAGTATTGGGGAGGTTGAATGTAGGAATGAAAATTGGGGAAATGCTTTATAGAGTATTATCTATCCTGGAAGGATAGATAAACAGACTGGAGGGAGGGAATTCCTAGTTAAAACAATTTGAGCACAGATTTGGTGCCAGCAAAGAAGTGTATCAATAAAATTCATGAAAGTTAGGTTAAAGGGGAATGATAGAATATAAAACTGGGAAAGATTTCCAAGGAAAGGCCGGCAGGGGAGCCAGGCATGATGGCTCATGCTTGTAATCCCAGCAACTGGAGACTGAGGAAGGAGGCCAGTTTGAGGCCAGCCTCAGCAATTTAGCGAGGCCCTAAGCAACTTAGTTAGACCATGTTTCAGAATAAAAAATAAAAAGGGGGCTCATTGGTAGAGCACCCCTGGGTTTGAACCTCAGTACCAAAAAGAGAAAAAAAGAATATCTAAATCACTGGGATTGTAGGTAGTGAGAAAGAAGCTAGTAAAAGTTGAGCAGGGGTTGAGGAAAAATTAGGAAATAAGAGGGAGAGAAAGACATTAATTTGATTGTCACAGTAGTTTAAGCAAGAGGTAACTGGATTCTACACCAATAAGTGAATTGGCAGTGGAAATATAGGGTAGGGGATTTAAGTCAGGGATCTCCAACTTGTGTACCTACAAAAATCAGGCAAGTTTTGCAAATAAGTGATAGAAACTGGGTAGCTTTGATTCAGCTCCAGCTGATTGTTGCCTTGTTGGAATATTTTTCCCGTGTGCTTGTATGGTTACAGTTTTCAAGAGAAGAGAATCCAGAGTTCTGTATTAATTTACTCATTTGAAAATGTTGACATCTTAAAAAAAGAAAAAAGAAAAAAAAAATGTTGACATCTAAGTTGAAATCTGACTTGATTTTTTTATTTTTTATTTGTAGTTCTGGGGTTTAAACCCAGGGCCTTGCACATGCTAGTCAAGCACTCTACCAACTGAGCTATGGCCCCAGCCCTAACTTTAAAATTTTAAGCACATCCTGTGAGCTAATGAAAATGTGCCTTTGGCTCACAGATGGCTCATCATTATGAGTGTGCACCCTCTGTATAAGACATGGAGTCCATTGGAAAGGGGGCATTTCCAAAAAGTGGATGCTCTTTTGGAAGCTATAGAAGGATTGAAGGGGATAAGAACGAAAGAAACAGAGCCCCCCAAAACAATGTTCTTAGCACTTTGAGATCACAGGTGCCTTTCATTCAACCATTATTGTACCAATATTAATTTGTTGAACACTTACTAGGCATAGGAATACAGGGAACAAAGCAAACTGTCTTGTGCTCACTTGGAGCTTACAATGGATAAACAAAGAGAAATAAATAAAATGTCCAGGAGAAAAAGTGCAGTGGTACTAATCTGGTCCTGGCAGGGAAGATGAGAGGGAGCATTGAGGAATGGGCGGAATTATTTCACTCATGGTCTTTCTGGTGGGGTGACATTTGTGCAGAACTCTAAAGGAGATGGAGGAGAGAGCTGAATGGGTAAAGTGTTCCAGGCAGAGGGACCAGAGAACTGCTTATTGATTTGTAGGTGAAATTGCTACTTGTGCTTAGGAATTTTTTGTTGTTATTGTTTTTCATGCTTAAAAGTTTTTAAATAAGATGGGAAATTTTGGGCTGGGGATGTGGCTCAAGAGGTAGCACGCTCGCCTGGCATGTGTGCGGCCCGGGTTCGATCCTCAGCACCACATACAAACAAAGATGTTGTGTCCGCCGAAAACAAAAATAAATAAATAAATATTTAAAAAAAAAAAAAAGATGGGAAATTTTACTTATATTTGTCAAGGAGACATTGAAGTTTGGTGGAAATAATGCAAGTTTCGTTTTCCATGGGATAGTTGAATTTGAACTTTTTTTTCTTTAAATAAAGAGGATGTTGTATGAGCAGAATATAGAGGCCATGTGTATATATAAATGTACTTGTTTTTTCCTCATTTGAGAAATACTTATTCTATTTAGGATCCCATTCTTGTGTTTTTTCTCATTTGAAAAAAATAGTGAGGTAAAAAATCTGGAGAGTTTTAGTGAGTTTTTCTTCTCTTTGAGTAAAAGACTTGACAAGAACAACTTAAAAAGTGACAAAGTTTATTTTGGCTCAAGGTTTCAGGAGTTTGGCTGACTCCATAGCTCTGGGCTCAAGGTGAGGCAGATCATCTCGTTGGAAGGGTGTGGTGAAGGAAAGCATTCAGGATGTGGTAACTAAGAAGCAGAGAGAAGGCTCTGCTTACCAAGGACAAAATATGAACCCTAAAGGCATGCCCCAGTGATTTTTCTCTTCCAGCCACATCCTGCCTGCCTACAGTTACCACCCAGTTTCTCCATAACAGTGGATTAATCCACTGATCAGGTTATAGCTCTCATAATCTAATCATTTCATCTCTGAACATTTTGCATTGTCTCATACATGGGCTTTTTTAAAAATTGTAGATGGATACAATACCTTTATTTTGTTTATTGATTTTTTTTTTTTTATGTGGTGTTAAGGATTGAACTCAGTGCCTCACACCTGTTAGGCAAGCATTCTACC